CTTAATGAGACAGTAAATGGTGATGGGTATTGTGATATTTCAGAATATTTCCTCATCCCAACAATGTAAGGTTATTTTCAAGATGTTGATGTAATCTTTCAACAAGATGGAGCTAAATGTCATATACTGTACATGCAACAAAGCCAAAGAATTGTTTATTTCTCTTGTATTGACATGGAAACTCACCCAACTTGTTCCCAATTCAAAATATTTGGTCCATTTATAAAAAATGACTAAGACTAATACAACCAATAAACAAAATTTAAAAGAAAAACTTATAAAAATTTGATCTGAACGTAGTTTTGAACAATGTCAATCACTTATTTAATCAAAAATATGTAATTCATAATAAAGGAGATGTAACCAACTATTAGAATAAAATATTCTAAATTTTTTGATCATCATTCACTTAAGTAAAAAGATTGACTTTCTAACCCTTTATTTAGAAATTAATTTTTTCATGAAAATATAGCTAAAAGACCAGGCTAAATAAATATCTTTTATTTAATTTTTTTGTAATTTTATTGTCATTCAAGTGTTGGNATTCTAAATTTTTTGATCATCATTCACTTAAGTAAAAAGATTGACTTTCTAACCCTTTATTTAGAAATTAATTTTTTCATGAAAATATAGCTAAAAGACCAGGCTAAATAAATATCTTTTATTTAATTTTTTTGTAATTTTATTGTCATTCAAGTGTTGGCACTTTGTAATGGAATTAAATTATTCTAAACTTTTTGAACCAACTGTAACTGAGATGATAAATAATTGAAAATAACTGACATTTATAATACCAGTTAGACATTTTACTCAAATTGCATACAGTAATCTTCATTTTATGATATTAATTCTATCCAGATACCCCTTCTTATCAGAATCAACTTAATGTGAGCTTAATAACATATTGTTTTATTGCAATTTGTTTTAAAATCATGAAAATTGAAAGGTTTGCCACAGTAAAAAGATACTTTCTCTGTAAAAAAATATTTTTTTACAATGGAAACATTAGTTTCATGTAAAATATTAAATAAACAAATAATGTTAAGTATTAAAATTTGATAAAGACTTAAAAAAAGTAAAAATCAAGGACAAAAAAATGCTGCTACTGGTTTTTTTTTAACCAAAATTTGTTTAAAATGATAAATGCAGTTGCCAAAAACACTTGTATTCATATTACCATTGGCTTACCTATCACTCATGCTTTCTAGGACTGGAATGTCAGCGTTGGCATTGAAAGAGTTAGTGTCAGTAAAAAATTCACTAACTTCAACTCCTCAACCATCTCTATATTTCATAATTATTTTTACTTTCCCAACTGCTATAGAATATAACATAAAACAAGTATGGTGATTTTGTTACTCCTGGGTTTTTTCTGCATTTTTCACTTGACACTTCATGAGCCCAAAAATGTTTAAAAAACCCTTACAAATTTGTATATGTGTGTGCATGCATGCATCTATTTTGCATTATATCTCAGGAGTGGATGAACCTAACTTTTTGGGCAGGGTTATTTCTATTATGGTGCAAAAATGCTAGTAAATTTTTATGGTTAAAGGTCAAAGGGGAAATAAAGGGGTTATGTGTCATCTTGAGTAGAATAAGACCTTAACGAACATTGAAAAATTCATCGAACATCTAAAATATATTTTAAAGAAGCTATAATCCTGTATCCAGAGATTATTCAGAATGTAACTTGGGTCATCAAGACATAAAACAAGTTAGTGTCGAGCATTTGTTTTCTGGATTTCAGTTCATTAAATCTGATTTTCCTGCATCTATGAAGGAGTATTTCACATATTTCTATTAACAAATTCAATGTATTGATATCCATAACAGAAATTTTCATGAAATTAATTTGTAAAGTTGTAATTTTTTAATCTTTTTTGAATAAAGTAAAAATCATAGCTACAATCTAATCATCATTAGACCACCATTACATTGCTAATTAGTAAATCAGCTTAATGAATTGCATGCTGATGATGAAATATTGGTTAATATATATATAATTAAGGAATCAGTGTTGGCAGGTTGAAAATATTAACTCCAGAATTGGAGTCAGCAAAAAAAAAAAAAAAAAAAATGTTGACTCTCCAGTCCTGATACTTTCCCATGTGGCAATCTTAATTCCGTTCTAAAATTAAAATGATATTTATCATATAGTGAATCTTATTATATAAAAATGCTATTATAAAACAAGGATCCACTCTATATATTATTTTGTAACCTTCCACAGATAAATGAATAAAATTAAACAGATTAACAATCATCTATACCAGGCATGGCCAACATACAGCCCACGGGCCGGATCTGGCCCGTCTAATGAATTTATGTGGCCCACGATCAATCTTTCAATATTAGCTACTCAAGCCCGAATAGCTTGATGAAAAATACTGACGGAAAAAAAAAGGTCAACAACTCACTGTGTGTTTAGAGTTAACCCTCCATTACAAATCTCATATGTACAGCATAAAATGTTGATAAAGCATGATAATGTGAAAAATGCATCTGTAGTCTCTATCTACAATTTAGTCTCTATAGGGTGACGCCACAATGAGATCTCGCACCACCTCAAAATCTTCCTAGGGTAGCCTCTGGTTCGGCCCGTGGAAGAAGTTTTCTTTCCAATTCAGCCCGGGGGCAAAAACTGTTGGCCACCCCTGATCTATACTTTGAAACAGGTATTTTTTTTAAATCTCAATATAATTATTTCTATTTAAAATTTTTCCTTCTATAATCAATTCACAAGGATCATGAATATATAAAATTACCTAAACTTTTCTTCTGTATTTTACCTTTGTAGAATGTGTAATAGATTTATATAATAATATTCACTTGATGAAATAATTAGCTTTACATTAATCAGTTCCTATAAATTAATATGCAATGTCTATGAGCTATTCTTAAGATATTCTCTATTCCAAAGTGTTGTATTTCTGAAATAGAACCTCAAGTTATGAGACAATATGTAGGAAACCAGAATTTACTTTACAATAGTTCACTTATTAATGGTTTCCAAGAAACCAATCAGGTCATAAACCTTACAGACTATTTGTATATTTGTAATCTAAAGAATAAAGTGTATGTGTATTGCATTATTTTTTCTTACTGAATTATATAACTAACAATATTACAATCATATCTAGCATAGAATTATATTGAAAATTTTGATTTTGAATATTTATTTGATAGCACTATATTTTCAAATAAATTTTATATTATCTTATAATAATAACTGAATTTGAATGCATACAAAATTTTGTATTTTAAATTGACTCCAAGTTCATGTTATAAAAACTTTTTAAAAGTAAACACACACATACTAAACTGAAAAGGACACCCTACTGCTTTGGGGAATCAGATTTTGATGATCTTTGGTGTAGAGGTAGTACACCATGTGAGTGTACTACCTGTAAAATACTAAAGTGCAACACTCAAATATAATCGAGAAAAACGAACTTAAAGTTTTCTTTAGCACTTTATATATAAGTTATGCGTGCTTCCACTTGAGCATCCTGTGGTGAGTGGTAACGCTCCTGACTTGTACCTTGAGTGCTCGGTTCAATTCCCTTGTGTATACTTTTTTCCTTTTTTTTATTCACAAATACTTATAATATATTTATTTATTTCTTATTATTTATTGATTTTTTGATATTGGTATTTTATTATTTATTTATTTTAATTTAATTTCTACTATTCCAAATCTAATATATTTACTTTTGTTGACAATAACAGTGCATTCTTCACACCTATGTGTCAACTTTCCCATCTAATTGTTATCACCAATGGTGACTTCCAATCTAATTCTCACTAGGAGAGTTTTTTCTATCGGAGTTCTTTTTCACTCACTCTCTAACAGTTCATTTCTGAATTTTGACGCGAATAGACATATTTGTGCAGTGAAATTTATTTTGAAAAATTATTTTAATTAAAAAAAAATGTCATCAAGAGAAGCAAGTTCGTCACGTTGTGACGAAAAAACTTGATGATAACTCTTTATACAGTGATGAATCAAAGCAGTGGCTAAAAGATGGAGTAGTGTATTATGAGAGTTTACTTTTCAAAAATAATTTAATTGCAACATCATCTTCTGATACACTATCTGAAAATGCTATGCTGATAGGCACAGAATTATACAATAATACATTGAATGTGTTGAATGAAAAAAATTTATAACTGTTGCAATTAAATTATTCACAAATACATTATAAGTATTTGTGAATAAAAAAAAAGGAAAAAAAGTATACACAAGAGAATCAAACTGAGCACTCAAGGTACGAGTCAGGAGCATTACCACTCAGCCACAGGATGCTCAAGTGGAAGCACGCGTAACTTATATATAAAGTGCTAAAGAAAACTTTAAGTTCGTTTTTCTCAATTATATTTGAGTATTGCACTTTAGTATTTTACAGGTAGTACACTCACATGGTGTACTACCTCTACACCAAAGATCATCAAAATCTGTTTCCCCAAAGCCGTAGGGTCTCCTTGTGAAAAATTTGACAACCGTAAAACAAAGTGTGCAATAATTTTAATAAATCCTTTAATATGATAAGCAAAATATAAAGTTATCTTCCATTACATGATTTTTATCTAACAAAATAGATCTACACAAATTATAATCTAACAGGAGGCACCACAGAATACAATGAATAGACCCTGATATGAACAACAATCAACTATAAAAAAATTTCTTATATTCAAATCATATAATTAGCATCTCACACTAATGTATAAAAAAGATTTTCATCTCTAAAAACTTATGATTTATCCAAACAGTAATTTATTCTTAGCAAATGTGCAAGACTGACAAAAAAAAAAAAAAAATAAAATAAAAAATAAAATACAATTATCTAAATTAATTACTATAAAATACCATATTATCAATTATTAAACAGTAATATTAATATCTATTTTCACAATTTGATGATATTCTTCATTATTCTAAAAGAATGATAAAATAATTTAGAGAAATAATGATGAATAATATGAAAAATACTTACTAAAACTGTAGCATAACAACTGCGCAAGTTTGAGGACGGGTGTTGAAAAGCTTTCCAAAGTAAATTTACTAGTGTGTCGTTCTGAAATTTAATGTATGTTTGAAAATATATGTAAAGATAATTTAAAATATTAAATAAATCTAAAAAATGATAAATTAATAATGTCAATATAAAAATTGAAGGCCAGTGATTTCAATGATTTGAAACCATCAAATAACTAGCAATAATAATTTTGAATGTTACAATAAAGCATATTACAAAACTTCAGAATTACTATTGTTAGTAAAATATAAGAAAAAATTTCACTCATCAAGTTATTAAAAGTCATCAGATTTATCAACACCAATTTATACCTACTCATAAGAATTTAAATCTCTTATCAAAAAATGTTGAAATTAAAAATTCAATACAATTAAGTCATATTAAACTTCTAGCAAATGTTTTAGTAAATATGTTGAACTTAACTTACATCTTTTCCAGGTAAAGCAACATCTTTTCTCTTTTGCAACTCTTCAATCATTTCATTATTCAAGTAACCTTCACGTAATAGCTGATAAGCCACACCACCTTCTTTCATATTAAATGAACCACACAGGATATGAGGTCTAGCAATGTCAGCAGCAAAATTCACTACTTCTCTTACTAAACTAGACATCTGAAATATTAAAAAAAAATTTGAATAAACACAAATTAAAATTTTAGTAACTTTGTAAAAATAAATTAGAATCCATTTACTGTAATCATGCATATTGTTATCAGTCATTAACATTATCAGAATTAGCATGTCACAAATCAAGTTAAAATATATTTATAAATCATTTATTGTGATCAACATTTGTTATAATCATCATTATCTGCAGATAAATAGGCATGTTAAAATAGTCTTTTCAAGCTATCAGTTTCAATATTTGGCTGATAATGTGCATTTGTGATCAGTCTTAACCAGTAGTTAAAAAGTTTATCATTTAATTTCTACTAATTGTATGGAGCCATCAACATCCATTATAAATACAAGATTTATTATACACAGAAATATAGCCTGATTAGAAAATCACCAGCATTTATTGATTTATATCAGTGTTTCTCAACCTCTAACGAATCGTCGCCCCCTTCAACGTAGTATTGCCTCCTTCACTTCAAAATTCGGATGCCCAGGGCCAAGGCTAACGCCAAATTCGTGCTGCATTGAATAGACTAGTGACTAGAATAATGTTATTTGTTTAATTGTTGTACGATATAACGAATAAAATATCTAATTATTTTTAATATAATGTTTTACTATATCGCCCAGAAAATTGTTTTTCACCCCCAAAATATAAATTGTTACTAATCGCCCCCTCAACATGGAAAAACGCCCACATGGGGCCCCCGTTGAGAAACACTGGTTTATATTAACTGGGGAATTCAAGGGATTTTCTTGTCCCTCATCAGCCCCTATACAAGTAATACATTGTAAATCTTTTTTTAGACACATAAATATACATACATAGATAAGAAATTTCACTTACACATTTTGATGATTTTCTAGTCTGTGCATAATAAGTCTAGTATTTACAACAAATGTTGATGGCCATTAATAAAACTAACAGACAACAACCAGCAAATTCAAGAAAGAGAGGAGTGTGATGGTCAAGATGGATGAGGGGTCAAGAGTGTCATGTGAGTGCAATGGGTGCAACTGACACTGAGACACACACAATGATTACAAGAAACTGTTTATTTGATTTATTTGACATGAAAGAAGCTTATGAGATTTCTGCAATCTTGGAGGTTCAAATCGATGATGGTCTCCAAGTCTTTCTGACCTTTCCAAAATGGTCCTAAATGAAGGAGCGTCTCTAGTTCATGAGTGAGAGTTCCTTCAATATCTAAATAGCTTCAAGATGATGTGGTTAACTTCTGCTAATGGGAGGATCTTGATCCAAGAAAAGGAGAGAAACAAAGATTGGCATGAGCCACTCACATAACAAATGGTCCAACACTTAGAATTTTCAGGCAAAGTCATCATTGTATCCTTGAAATTAAGGACTTTTATTATTTTCTATCCTTGATCATCCATCCTGATTCATTGCTTTTTCCTCATTCTTGCTTTTTAAGTGGTTTGTCACTCATTGCTAAGTGTAATGAGATCTCAAATTAGGTCGTGGGAGAGGTCAAAATCGATGTTTCATTTGATCCCAACAAGGGATGGTTGGATCTTAGTACAGTAGAATCTTGTTTTTATGGATCATGGAACAATGAATTTCCCAAAATAATATATTTTTCTCCAGATTTCACCAAATCAATGTAATTTTATCTCCTTTCAGTGGATCCATAATGTGAAAAAATTAGTGTTGCAACGAATAGTATATTCGGCCAAGAGCTTGGCCAAATAGCCGAATATTCGGCCAAACTATTCGGCTTGATTAACGCACGTAAGAAAATTGGCGTGCAAACTGCATTATGGCAAGAACCTTGCTCTTTATTGGCCCCCTGTCACTACACTTTGCCATTCACGTTAATTCTTGACAGTTGTAGTGGACAGACAAGAGCGTCATGGCAGTATGTGATAAATGATGATATCAAATGTGGATAACAATGAAATGACCTACACATGTAAATAACGGAAAAAAACAGAGAAGGACCGCAAAGTGAAAATGTGAAAATAAATATGAAATTGAGTTGATAACATAATCAAACTAGTCGAGGCAGCTTATTGGCGCGAAATTCGCGGCCGTCAATGCCAAACAATTGTTGTCATAGACTTCGGAAAGCTAAATGCTTATAATGAAAGTCACTTAGCATGCACGGGTGAAAGCCTGGGACCGTTTGGGCTACCAAGCTGTCTCAAATCTGTAAAATCATAATTGTGACTTATACCGACGTCCTATCTGTCTCTTTTCTCCATTATCACCAGGCTATGAATCACATAATTGTAAAATGGGAAATCTACGACGGAAAAGTGACGAATTGAAAGTATCATGAGCGCGTATTATGATGTAGTAGGACTAGAGTGACAGAGAAAAGTGAAAGGGAAGAGCAAAGACAAGCGCTTAAAAAGAAGGATAGGCAGGGTCAGACCCTCAGATGTGTGATGATTGTCGAACGAATAGGCGTGTACATGTGTACATGTGCTGATCTTTGTAATTATAAATTGTGAATACATGTGACTAATATTATTTTCTTTTTTATTTTGTACATAAGTTATAAATAAATATTAACAAACAACGCTAACCCGATAACATTAAATCTAAATACCAAATGATTAATTTACTGTGTTTTNTAAATTGTGAATACATGTGACTAATATTATTTTCTTTTTTATTTTGTACATAAGTTATAAATAAATATTAACAAACAACGCTAACCCGATAACATTAAATCTAAATACCAAATGATTAATTTACTGTGTTTTTGTTATTTCTTACTCCTGTTTTTAGGTATTTGGTATTCAGCCGAACAGTGATTAAATATTCAGTATTTGGCCGAATAGTGAAAAATAGGCTGAATACCGAATAGTAACCGAATATTCGTTACATCACTAGAAAAGATGAATTCTTTTCTGGCCCCATCTATTGCAGACTTTGTTTTTTCAACATTTAGTTAATGTTTGGATCTTTCCAGAAATTTGTAGAGATCAATGATGCACTTTTTACATCTAGAATATGTACAGTACAATTGTAGAACTGTACAAAGAGAATCAGTAGGCTGATACATTTAAGAAGGAACTACCTAGTGAACATTCTGACACTGGTCCAAGTGTAGTGCTGAAATTTAGCAAGGCCATTTTCCAAGTTGTGAAGACCCTCCTGATGAGTAAGCCCCACATTTTTCAGATCAATAAAAGTGGAGTTTCAGATCTGAAATCGGATCAAAAAGACCACATTTTTGGATTTATTCTCGAAACAAAAATAATAATAAAATCTGTTTATTAATTACTACAGTATACTATATTACAAACTGTTAGAACGTGACCATGCACTTACAAGAAATCTATTAAATTAACATTTTCTTCTGTCAGACTGTGTCGACAGTCAGCGAGAATGTTTTTATACAATGAAAAACTTCTCTTGGCCTCAAATGTAGTCACAGGATAGTATTTCTGCAAAGGTACATCGACAAGCCCTACATCTTCAGGGATCCCCAACTAGACAGCTATTAACTTGGCAAAGCACAGAAAAACCACTGTTCTTCTCTAAGAGTGCCACCAGCTTCATGCAAAGTTTGTTTCCACATAACCAGGAAGGTTTGTATAGAATCCTCTACTGTTTGAAAAATTTTTAGATTCTTCAAGTGACAACCCTCTTGCTTCTAATGCTTTAATGATATCTGGAAAATTTAACAAATGGGCACAGATATAAACTAGAGAAGCAATTAAATGTGGACTTTCCAAAGCTTCCTTAACATCCACAACAAGAGCTTTCTGATACATCCAGTTCATTGATAAAATTTTGAAAGTCAAGTAAATGGTCTGCATAGAATACTACCACTTTTATCCATGTACCCCATATCATGATCATGGGAGAAGGTGGCAAAGGAGTATCTGGCAGACACTCACAATGCATAGCAGTTTGCATTGGTGTCTTTGCAAGTATTTTCTCGCCAGAACAAATGAGGACTTTTACATCTTTAAAATGAAAATGAACTTGTTTGGCTAGAAGATGTAAAGTGTAATACAGGCTGGTTACATGAATAAGGTTATATAAAAAGTTCTCACCATGCTTACAGACTGCACAGCCTTCTTTCTATAAGCATAACTTCAATTATTCAACAGCATTAAGGCTGCGTACACACTAGGCGTTTTTAAACGCGCGTTTAAAGGACCAAGAGTTCTACATAGGCGTACACACTCAAATGCACGTTTATAGATTTTTGTTAAAACGCGCGTTTTGCGGGCGCTTTACGGGTGCTTTGAGATATATGTGCTGCCATGTTACTGTACATTCGATCGCGCGTTTTGCGGGCGTCAGCCGAGCGCTTTGAGATATATGTGCTGCCATGTTACTGTACATTTGATCACGCGTTTTGCGGGCGTCAGCTGAGCGCTTTGAGATATATGTGCTGAAATGGAGAACGATCATTTCGATACTGATCTATTTATTGATGAAATCTAAGAGACCAACCATCGTCAAAGGATTTTATAGATATTTTTAAAAAATTATAAAACTTGGGTTCATTTTGTCTTAGTTTTGGATACAACGTCGCAAACATTCCATGTGTCAGTCTATCTCGTAATATGGGTGCACCCAAAATTCTCTTTGCCTCTGCCATCGTCTTTTATAGCGATGATGGAGGAGGGGCACACAAGCAATTACTTTCACGTCCATTTCCAAACTGAGCCAGTGCATACGCTCCAAAAACGCTCGTCGAACGTCGAGCTAACGCACGTTTAAAAATGCCTAGTGTGTACGCAGCCTAAACCTTCCTGAACAAATCTTGCTATCACCTCTGCACTTGTCTTCTCCAGAAATTTACATAAAAGATGATAAATTTTAGCACAGCTTTTTCCGTCAAGTTTTTGTACTACCATTAATGCAACATATCATCTGCATGCATCTATAGTTTCATCTACAGCAAACCATATAGCATTGTCACTGATTTCTTTGCAGATTTTTTCAAGCACTTCCTGATGAACATGTGGAAGATGATTCTTCTGCAGTGTTGATTCATCAGGAA